CTTGTGTATTACCGTTTGAATTTTTATAAAATTACGTGATTACCTATCAAAAAAATAATTTGACTTTCTAATTTTAGGCATATGGTTCTGCTCAGGTTTGAATGCATTACTGCTTGCTCTGAATAAATTTAAAGTAGACAACTTCAATAGAATTGCATTTCATGCACCTTTGATACTTCACCTAGATAAGTTGGACTTCTTATGCTCACACCTCATCTATTCTTGTTAAATATTATTTTAGAAATATCTTGTTAGAGCCTCAGTTATTGAGCCTTATTCTGAGAAATTACTTATTTACTATTTTATGCTCATGAAAACATGTTGAAACCCAATAAAACGAATCAAAATAGGCAAAGAGAGCCAAGATTTGCTTTCATGACAAAGAGCAAAGTACATCATCTACAAGATGGCTACATGGCTACAGATAGAGAAAGTACAGCCCAAAAGCTGTAAAAAAGCCATTTCCCTAGGTAAACTTTAAACTCAGAAATTAAAGCACTAATTTAGTCCCCACATATTTATAATCAACAATTCCGTGAGATTGAAACGTGTATTAAATGTTCAGCTCTAAATCATATTCAAGTAAAATAATTGAGTACGTCAATGCAAATCAATTTATTGACGTCTTAATCTTGGCATTTGATGGAGTCTTAACTATTTCCATGTGTAATAATATAACCTCCTATGACATTTAATTAGCTATTTGTAGATTTTGATAGTATTCTTTCCATACAAAGACGTAAATGCTAAAATTTACTAATGTCTAATTCACTATGTTGCTGATCTTATAAGCTAACATTTACTGTTAAAGTCAATGTACATGTTCTATTCCTCTTCACATTCTGTAATATCCACAAACACCATTTCGTAATATCCATGGCTTATAAGCACTGCACTACCAGCGAAGCTCTCAATTTGTATCTTAAATTTCTTGTACAATGTATAAACTAAGGTGTTCATATGCTGTTGTAGGATGGAAAAACGTTCGATCAATTGAAAGTAGTTGAGGCAATGAAGTTGGACAGAGGGTATATTTCCACGCACTTCCGTAAAGTGAAGTTCTCGAAAGATGGCGGCAAAGAGGAAGCACCACCAGTTTTTGTAGGTATTTTATGCTATTGAAACTACAAGACACTAAGGGTCCGTTTGATTGTAAGGGTGGAAAGAAAATGTTTTACAGGGAATTGATTTTCTTAGAAAATGTTTTACTAGGAATTGTAATTAATTGTGTTTGATTTGTATAATTTTCCATGGAAAATGTTGAAAATTTGGTGTCCATTTGACTTCGTTTTTTATGGAATTTGTCCATTAAAATGATAATTTTTTCTACTNAAAAAAAAAAAAAAAATTTTGAAAAAAAAAAACTTTACCATACTAATTATCAATCGTTTGACTTTATATTGTATGAAAGTTGTCGATAAAAGTGAATTTTTTTTTTTTACCATTGTGTCTAGAATTTGTTCTCATTGCCAAAAAAAAAAACAAAAAAAAAGGTGGAAAATGTTAGGTGAAAAAACATTTTCCACTATTTGTGCATCAAATGGTTTTCTAGGAGGAAAGCATTTTCCATGGAAAATTTCGTATATCAAACAGTCAAAAAAGTGAAAGTGGAAAAATATTTTCCTACTTTCCTGGAAAACTCCGCCAATCAAACGGAGCCTAATATACATTTTCTTTGATAATATTAGAAGTATAATATAAAGACAATATATTTCTCTCATGAACAACTTGAGTCCTTTTAGGCTAAGTCATTTGTATAGAAAAATATGTACATCTGTGTGAATATATTCATGAATTTGCTTTTAGAGCAAGTGACTTTTTTTGTTTGTTCTCATTTTCTTTAGCACTTCAAAACTGGAAACATCAAATTTGGCTTTCTTGCTGTGGGGTCTATTTCATCAACCAAAACTTTTTAGACACACTAACATTACATTAGAAATAACATAGCCCGTGCATTGCGCGGGCATAAAACTAGTATATATTAAAAGAGCCATTTCGCGATGGCACTGTTTCTATAGAATTGTGCCCACCTTTTCTTTTTCCTTCCTCTCTGCAACCGTCAACGTTTTGGATTAGCCAAATGAAACACGATATTTCTCTCAACCACAAAAGAAACCCATATCTTGCTCTTTCTCAAACTCTCTCCTCTCTCAATCACTGAAGAAACTCTGCCTATCGCTTATTCGCTGTCGATCTTTCGAAGTTCGGACAATCTTCCTCCAGGGTTGTATCCAGTGTTTCTCCCAGCTTTGAATTGAAATTCTTTTGTCAATTCCATCCAAATGTTGTTCTTAAAATGAAATGCATTTCAAAGGAGTTTTTCTCTTTACCTTTTCCTTGTGTTTCTCCTCTTCCTTTTCTTTTTCCCTCCTTTGATTTTTGCTAAGGTATTTGTTTTTTTTCATCTTTTCTATGTTTTCATATCTTGATTTTGATGGTGGGATATCTTGTGCTTACGTATGAAATAATTAGGTTTCGGAAAGGAGAAGTCAAATGCTGGAATCAAGGATTTGGGACGACGAAGAAAAGTGAGTATACTCTTTATATAGTTGAAAATTTTAAATTGGCTATTTCGGAGTAAAAATAAACTGGAACCGTGGTTGAATAATATTGAACATTGAAGCCTTGATGGCTAGTTAATATCTATGGATTTACTGTTAAATTTTGATGTGTCCTTTTCCTCTAAAAAAATTGTTGAAGAGATTTTTGTAGACAAATTAAAAATAGTTATTGCAATAGATGAGATTGACCCCGATTCTATTAATCATGGTTCGAGTTGGACTCTGGTCTTGGAGTATTTTATGCTTTCTTTGCAAGTTTTTACATGATTCTTGTTAGTGAGGTTAGTGAATGCATTTCTTTAGTACAGTATCCTGTGAAATTTATCTTATTGAGCACTGATCATAGTCTGATGAGATGACAGAGTCTTGAGTATTTAACTGTTTTGGCCAAACTTTAAAGGGGGTGTCCTCAATTAAAATTGTGATGAATTTTAAAAATCCTTTTAAATTTAGGTGTCTTCAATTGAGATTTTAATGGATTTTAATGAGATTAATTAAAATTTAGGTGTCCCCAATTGAAATTTTAATGAAATCCTTCAAAATTTAGGTATCTTCGATAACGGGTAGATTTTTAAAGAATTTATTAATGGATGGATTTCAAGCTTA